AAATATTACCGTACTTATATAAATATTTAGAAAGTGCAAAAATACACCGCGTGCGCGAAAGATAATAAACTCAGTCTGAATAAATCACGCATTTAACCACATTTTCCGGCGCAGCGCGTATATCTCTACTTGTCGCCCGAATTTTGCGATAAATAACAAAACGTGGCGGCGATCCGTCGGCGTGCGCGCGTACGTCATCTTCCGCTGCGTATTTCGGGCGGGTGAAATAAATTTAATAGCGCGACGGTGAAAAAAATTCATGACTGAGCCGTGAGTTCAGCGTTTATAATCCGATCGCTGGCCGCTGGCGAGTGACGGCGATTTACGGTTCCAGTGACGTAAATAATTACACCCCATCTGTGAACATGTACAGTACGACCCGTATTCACGCAAATACATCATCGATACAACAACGAACCCGCAGCCACACCTAACCACGATGGACCACCTGTGCCCGCCGATCGGCACGAGAGTTATCGTCCCCGCTCATCGATTCATCGCCGAATTACGGTTGAACGACCATTAATTAACCTTTTGATACTCGCAGTAAAATATCTTTATAAGATCGTAGATCTTTCCCGTAGATCGTTTCTCAAAAATATTCCTTCAAATTATCTAGGGACTTAATTTTTTATCTCCTTCTGACTTTGTCTTTAACAAAAAAAAAAGTACAAAATCGTACTGAAAAAACTCTGAAATCAATCGACTTTGCCTAATGTTTATGAAACTAATCGTATGGAGAAAAAGAATCGAATATCCCTCGGAACATACATCTCGTTTATCAAAGCGCAGGAAGTGGTCACGCATGCGTTATCAAAGGGGATTGGAGAGATGATGGAGAGTGAGAAAGAGAGAGAGAAAAAAAAAGAGCTCTCCCGCTTGTCTCACATTGTTTCATCGAGAGCGCGTTTCGTTACGCCGTGTCGACCGCACGTCGTTCAACGGGCGCGTTTATCGACGCGGTTATCGCCGATTGTTGTTGCTAATATCGGCCGGCGGGCGCGAGCGTGAGCGCGCGTGTGGATAAACTCCGGCCTAGCTGCTGCGGGCGATCGACAGCGGGTCCGAATTTCCATTGCACAACCTCCGCAAACGTGGACATAAAAGCGACGACGGCCGCTGCAGCTGACACGTCCGCTCCGACTCCCTCCTTCCCTCCCCCCTCCCGCGCAAATACGCGATTGAAATTCCCGGAGAATTATTCCGCCGAATTTTCGCTTTTGCGTAAACTGCACAGAAACTATGCTGCAGCGAGAGTAAGCAAAACTATGAGCTTCGTAGACAAGAGCGAGTCCAAATATTCTCTCTTTTTTTTTCAGTTTAATGTCGAAAACAACATCGGAAAAACAAATATGTTTATCAGAACCTTATTTTATTACCGCAATATTGTTATTATTACGTAACAGTTGACCTAATTAATTATTACAAATTTGCTTACCTTAACGTTGATATTTCGGAACCGATTATTGAGCTTATTTAAAGGGTGTGCGAAATGTTAATTTTTGAAAATACGGAGAGATTAACATTTCACGTTCATAAAAATAAAGTACATCGGAAACATAAAAAATGTTATGTAAGAGCCTGAATTCTCACTACAGTGTCTAGTAAATAATTGCATTACAGCGGTACGTAAAAAGCAGTTAAACAAACGACCCGGCACGATGTTTCATCATCGCTTAATTTAGTGTCGCGAATTTTTAATCAGCATACGTGGACCGACGAAAGAAACGCGGTGTATTTTTCAAAGAACGGAGATAAAGCGAGAGAAGAGAAGAGAGGAATAACGAGAAAATCGTGAATAATGAAGCGTCGCGAAACAACTGGAATGACAGTTTGCAGTCCGCCCCGATCGACTTGAATAGATTCGTGCAACTTTAAAAACCGACGGTCGACGGCTCGTTAGCGATTCGATTAATTCTACGCACGTAACGAGAATTTTACCGCGGGAGCGGAAGAAAAATTACAGTTATCAATTTAACACGCGAAATATTAATATATATTTCACGGTGAAACGAGCGCGCAACACAACAATAAATTATAAGCAAGTAGTAAATCAATCAGTGACAAATATGTCCGCATGTTCGGCGTAATGAAATAGCGGAAAAAAAAGTTCCTTTCGCGATATATTACTGCGTTTGAAAATTTCATAACAACAGAGGAAAAAAGGGAAAGTTTATCAATTTCGCGCATGGAATTGATATGTGATTCACGACGAAGCAAACAACATGAGTAATAAACAAATAAAAGTAAACACAAACCGCGCGGAATAGTAAGCAAATAGTAAGTAAATAAGCAACAAGAGAGTGCAGAATAAACATATCGATTTTCTCGACGCGGCGAGATCGCGAGAAAAAAAATTCCTTTCACGGACGGTTATCCGTGACGGTGTCGGGCGGCGCGAAAGTTTCGATAAAGAGCAGGCGGCTTGCGAAATCACGCCGGCTCCCGATATTGAATATTCATGCAAAGTAGAATCGCTCGTTCCGACTTTGCTGTCTCTCTCTCTCTCTCTCTCTCTCTCTCTCTTTCTTTCCCTCTCGGTCAGGCTTTCTCACCCACGAAACGCGGCTTACGCACGAAATCCTAAGGTCGCTCGATACGCGATACCGTCGACTCGCGCGCCCAGCGAGCATGTTTATCGGGGATTTGTGGCGAAATGAGATACTTCCCGACATTCGCGCGCGATTACCGAACGCAATATTGCAATGCGAGTTTTATACTATCTAACACGTGTTTCTTCTCGCGTATCCGATATCGAAAAACTTTCGCGCCCCTCGTTTCGTTATTCAACAATCTTAATTGGCAAGAAACTCGAAGTAATATTCCCGCGGAGATATCTCGCTTTAAATATTTTGAAAAAGTAATTTATTCGAGCACGTGCGCCCGCTTGGCGTCGCTATGGAAAAGAATCCGTCGATTCGCAATCCCGTCGACTTATTGCCAGAATTTCCCGAGTAATTTCGTGCTGAGAAAATGGGAAGGAACGCGCCGCGCCCACCCGCAACGCACGAAGACTTGGCGGCCCTTCATTGGCAGAATTCCGGAAGTCCCGACAAGGTCCTTAGCCAACAAAGGAAAGCGCCGGGATAGTTTGTCAGAGAATGGCAAATTTGCGACGCGGAAATTTCAACGAGACGTGCAAAACTCCGACGAATTCTGCTGTTTGCGGTTTCGAGTCAAATTTATTTCCGAAATAGATTATTCAATTTCCCGAATTGAGGAAATTTTAATTAAACGCCGAATCGACGGTGGATCGTTAGAGAAATATACACGTGCAATCTGACGTATATTGTCTTTCACATTTTCCGGTAACAATAATAAACCTGTTTATTTGCTTTACATAAAATACGCTCATCCTCGCTTTGCATCGAGCGTAGAAGCGTACAGAAAATTACCGACTGCACAAGCGAAACAAATTTCGCCAGCTAAATTACATCGAATTACGGCGGATTATATATTTGGTGGTCGCGGCGCACGCAGCGGATTCATCTATCGATTACTCGACAATTCGCGAATCAACATGGAGCGAGATTTATTTAACGTGTTCACAAATATGAGTATTATTTGTTCGCGGACGAGTGAAACGTACGCGAGAGAAATGGAGCACTTCCGGTCTCCGTAACGGCGCAATGAAGGAGAAACGATGAAACGCGAATAAATGCATCTCGCCTGCTGCGCTTTCCCATACGACGGCGAGGTGGGAAGGAGGGGTTGGGGGTTGGCATCGAGAAAAATGGCGCCTCCGAACGCGTGCATACGCCTGCTCGACGACGACGGATAAAACTTTGTCGTCCGCTCCCCGGAGAAAATACACGGAGTTGCGCCAAGTGCCGCCCGTCCATTGAATGCCCGGAAATTCCCGGCGCGGCGATCCAGGTTGCAGCTCGCCGAAAAATACAGTTGGAAGAAGCGGTCGTTGCGCTTACGCGAGAAAGCTTTGCTATCTACCGACTGCGACCATGAATTTTGATGGATCCTTTTCCCCCGCGGAGCTTTCGGCCGGAACGACGCTGATTTGCATTATGCAATTTACGCGCCCGACTTTCAACGTGCGCGTGATAGTTTCGAGATGTACCGCGGCTGTGCTCACAAACGACGCTGAGCCTCCGTTTCGACACTGTATTTTTTTTCCTCTTTTCTTATTTATATTTTACTATCGCTTCGGTATTTTCGCGGCCTCCCTCGTTAAAACGTAACGATGAGTATAAAGCGTCGTAAAAAAAAGCGTTTTTTTATGCTGAAATAAATTTTAATTAATAAGCATTTTTAGACACGCAAATTTATTCTGAAGAACTAGAAATGCTAATAAATAAAGCTATTTCGAAATCACATTATTGTGAAATTAAAAAAGTCTATTTTTACATTTAACGCGAATTTTTTATATCTCGAATTAATTAATTCAGTAGCTGGAAATTGTCGTAGCGCGCTCGTTTTATCACGTATTCACGAGTGGCGCAGTCGAATCGTAAAAGCTGAAGAAAAGTGTGCATACTACTAACCAAACGAAATTCTAATGTAAACGAGTCTATTTGTATTCTCTCCATTATCGCGCGACAATAGCCAGGTGACACTTTCGAAATTTCTTTCGTAACATCACAGCAACGGGAATAAATAGTTATTTTGCTCTTTGTTGAAATTTCAGAAAAACAGATTAAAAATAGTTTTCAAATCTATCTTTAAAGTTATTATCTGATGGAGCATCCATAATGTCGAATAAATTAACAAAGTGAATAGCGAGTAAACGCTTTGCATTCAGAAGCATCGAAACGACTGTTTCGTCACGGTCACCGCACTTCGAAGAACTGCTTAATATCTCTCGGACGAGAGGATTAGCGGGTATAATTACTGCCTCGCGTGCAGAAGGCGTACACGGACATTTTCACGCTCGCGGGAATGCGACGGCGATACTGGGATTTCGTGCCGCAAAACACGAGAAGCAAACGGCAGCCTCTCGGCCTGTGCGACAAGGCGCGTGTACAAGGTGGATGAATGACTCTTACCTGGTGTGGCTGCAGGGTGTCGGGGACGGGCTCCGAGGCTATTAGCCAGCTGTGCTTACAGGGCGCATAAGCGCAACCTCCACCTCCGAGCAGCGCCGACTTTGTTTCTGCATCCTGGAAAAAAGAAAGCGAGAGAAAATGAATTTAACGCTCGTCAACTCGCGAGCGCCGCGCGTCTCATAATTTATTCAATCGCGCGTCAGACATAACAAATTTTCCTCCCCTAAACGAAATTAAAATACTTCCTGGTTCTCCGGAATTTCTGATTAATAAATTTTAATCGACTACTTAACGTTAAAAAAAAAAAAAGAAGGAAAGCGACGACGGTAGCCAGGTGGATGCTCGGGGTTTATGTCGTTCGAAAAGTTTATATTGGATTTCATATTTAATGCAACGCACACCGCCCAACATCGTCGCGTTGCCGTCGTGCCGCGCCGCGAAACCACCTTCGAGATAAATTATTTATGTCGAGGCGCTTTATCTTCGTCCGCTTCCGAAGGGTGGGCGTCGGGACGCTTGTTGGGAAAAACAGATGATCGGTGTAGAAGCCGCGATAAGCTCCGCCGTGAACGAAAATCGCATCGATCTTTACGAGCGTACGCGGGGATATACGCCGACGCGCGGAATGACAAAGGTGGGACATTGAACCACGGTTCTCGCTCTCCTGTCCTGTTTTTTATCGCGAGTGATAATATCGCGGACATCGAATATTTCTAATCGCTGAATTTCATTCCACGTGAAATTACAACGAGTTTCGACGCAGTGACGATTCCGATGCGGAAAAAAAAAATAAATAATCGGCACTCGTGCTTATCTGAGATTAATGACGAGCGACACCTCGATTATCTTACATGCCGATTATTCGGCGCACCGCCATCAAGATCCCGAGACTCGGAAGGTAAACGATGCTCAGCGGCGTCTGAACGCGTCGCGTTTAATTGCTATACGGGCATTTGTCGAAGGCGCTGCCGAGGCTCGGCGACGCGTGGCGAAGAAACATAATACACCCGAGCGGAATGTGTACGTGCCAGGAATTCGGCTTGCCGGCTGCTTATTGCCAGGATGGCGCTTACGAAACCATTAATAACACGCGAGAGGGTAATTTCCCACCCTGAGAAGAGAGGCAGAGAGGGAGAGAGAGAGAGAGAGAGAAGGAGAGGGAGGGAAAGAAAAGGACACCGCGCGGACCCTTATTGCCGCGTTTGCCGGGTGCCGCTTTCGCGCGGCGGGACACAATGAAGGGCCATCAATTACCCGTCGGGCCCTTCGCGATCGAATGAAGCTATTAAAGACGGGCCGAGCAGCACCGCCGACGTCAACTTCGTAATCCCGCCGTTACAGCTTTTATCACACGCGGATGCTCCTCTTCCGCACGCCGATGCGGAACGACTTAATAGCCCGTCCGGCTCGATAGGAATCGAGAAATTCCGCGGCGCCTCCCCGACTCCTCTTTTTGTCACCGACATCCTCCAAGCGATAAGAATCGGTCGGACGACTACGAAGGAGAGTATTAATTAGACGATGACTCGCGCGCGAGCGCGCTATTACCTTAATTGAGCCCGCATCAATCGTTCTTGGACCCCTCGCGCCTTCCGCGAAGGAACACGGGCGAGGTAAACGCACCAGTGAACGACCGGTCAAGGAATATTATTCTCATATTGTTCGAAGCTGTCGGCTAAATGGCGATATTAATCTTTTCATTCAATTTGATCCAGTGATAAACTCAAAAGCGATAATATATGTAGTTTTTTTTTTTTTTTTTTTTTTTTAACAAATATTCTACGCATCGAAAGCTCTCCCGACGCAATAAAGTTTCGACCAACTGACACCAAATGAACGGTGGAAATAATTACGCGCGCAGCGAGGAGCCGGTGATTAGTGAAAAGACTGGAACGTGGCGGCGGCGGCGGCGGCGGCGGCGGCGGCGCATCGATTTATTTGCGCTCGAATGAGGAGGCAAGCGGATTTATAGGATTATCGATTGCAAACTTGTCAGCGTCAGTCTGTTACCGTGTATTTGAACTCTCCAAACCGAGCAAACGTGTTCCGTTTACATTTTTCCAAAGCGCCCGGCACACAATCGCCTGCTCGGGCATCGTTGCTCCCATTGTTCGCGCGAGTTCGCACGCTCCTCGCCTCGCCGCGCTGGCTCCGCTCGCAATTTGTAACTGCCTGCGTCCCGACATGCCGTGTTATTAACCAAAACCAGACCGCGCGAGATACATCCACGGCGCTGCCCGCCGTCCGATAAATCTTATTACAAAAACGGACCGCGTGCGCTGGAAATATCGTTCGAAGCTGTAATAGGAGCAAATAAGTACGCTCTTTCAGCAAACATCGTTACTTTCCGCGACCGGTCATTACGGCATAAATAGTCGATCGGATTACGTTCCACGCGATTCTTAGGTAAATCTGTTGGAAGAACGTCGATGGATCGCTTACAAATTGCCGCGACAATAGAATTCTTCAGCAAACCAATCGCAATTAGATGGAACGAATATTTTTCATTTTTTTTTTCAAGTGTTCATTTTGTAAAGTCTTTTTGAATAAAAAGTAATTTTTTGAAATTATTGTTTTATATCTTATTCGTTTATTTATCCTAAACACTTTCAAATAGCATTTTTATTTCAAGTACACGAGAGAGAGAGAGAGAATAAATTATGATTATTAATTATTCAATCGACCTCAAATATTGACTGTTTGAGAGCCGGGCTGTTATTTGCAAGCTGGCGAGCGCACGGTTTCCTCATCGCAATTACACGAAACGACGGTACACACGTTGCGATCGTGACTCAGATCGTCGTTCAAGGAAATTAGATCACGTCGAGTGATTCAATTAAGCGCACGAGCGCTCTAAAAAGATGACAAACTCGACGTAGCCGCGCTGCGGCAAGAAGTGAAGAAGTCGCTCTCTCTCTCCCTTCCCCCCCCTCTCTCTCTCTCTCTCTCTCTCTCTCTCTCTCTCTCTCTCTCTCTCTCGTCTC